TCCCCCTAGTCGCTTAAACCCCGGATTATATTATACTAGCGAGGGTGTATAGCGTTGAGGCTTGTTATTTAGGGGAGGCTCACACACACACTACCCTTTCTGGTGTTCCTCGATCCTGGCTCATACCTCACCTGAAGACGATTCCCTGGACCTGTTCTATTCGCACACCTCACAGTATATGACCAGAAACTCGTGGGTGACAAAATGATCATCCTATGTTGTTAATGCTTGTTGCCTCTACCTCAACATAGCCGATATAGTCTGGCCGAAGAGACTTGTCACTCAACCGCTGACGATGTTTCAAACTTAAAAAGTTTTGGGTCTCAGGTGTTGGAATAATGTTTGGTAATTGTACAAGCGGCTGTTTTATTTATCACTGAATTTACCTCTGGTACAGTTTGCTCGAGGAAGGTGTGAACGAGTGTAAATTATTCACTCCAGGGAACACACCCAGAATGCCTGAAGGTGCTCCCGCTAGTTGACGTGCTTGGTGGGGTCGGTGAGAGCTGAATATGTCCTCTCTAACAATGTATAGCTCAGGGAGGTCGTTGGCTATAATAAGTAATGTAAGTAGGCACTCAACGTTAGTCAGGCCGAGGAGATGGTAGGTACCCTTTATGCCGTACTCTTTATGCTGTTTGGTGCCCACAACCCCGAACTGTGCCACACCATGTTATGTCTGGGAGTGCCACCACACCTTGTTATGTCTGGGAGTGCCACCACGCCTTGTTATGTCTGGGAGTGCCACCACGCCTTGTTATGTCTGGGAGTGCCACCACACCTTGTTATGTCTGGGAGTGCCACCACACCTTGTTATGTCTGGGAGTGCCACCACACCTTGTTATGTCTGGGAGTGCCACCACACCTTGTTATGTCTGGGAGTGCCACCACACCTTGTTATGTCTGGGAGTGCCACCACACCTTGTTATGTCTGGGAGTGCCACAACTGGAAGCGCCACATCTGCTGGTCCAAAGTTCTTAAAACACTACAGGGTATGGGAGAACGTACAGTATTTACCTTTTCACATCTCCAAGTAAGGAACAAATGTATTGAGAATTTTAGATGTTGGACAAGTAATCTTAATATGCACACTAAACTGTTTCGAAACTTAGTGAACCTTTGTGTGTGTGTGTGTGTGTGTGTGTGTGTGTGTGTGTGTGTGTGTGTGTGTGTGTGTGTGTGTGTGTGTGTGTGTGTGTGTGTGTGTGGAGGATCCTGGGTATGTGTGGGTGATACTGAGGGTGGGTGGGATGAGGATCCTGGGTGTGTGTGGGTGGGTGGTACTGAGGTGGGGTGGGTGAAGGATCCTGGTGTGTGGGTGTAGTACTAGGGTGGGTGGAGGATCCTGGTGTGTGGGTGTAGACTGAGGGTGTGGAGGATCCTGGGGGGTGGGAGGATCTGGGTGCTGAGTGGCAGGGACAGAGGCGCCGTCAGGGGTGTGACAGGTTAGGTGGCGTCCAGTGTTGATCCTGGAGACACATGGAGGGAGGGACTCGGTACCACCTCCTCCTCCTCCTCCTCCTAGTCCCTTCCTCCTCCTCCTCCTCCTCCTCCTCCTCCTCCTCCTCCTCCTCCTCCTCCTCTTCCTCCTCCTCCTCCTCCTCCTCCTCCTCCTCCTCCTCCCTCCTAGTCCCTCCTCCTCCCTAGTCCCTCCCTTCCTCCTCCTAGTCCTCCTCCTCCCAGTCCTTCCTCCTCCTCCCAGTCCTCCTCCCTCCTCCTCCTCCTCCTCCTCCTCCTCCTCCTCCTCCTCCTCCTCCTCCTCTTCCTCAGTCCCTCCCTCCTCCTAGTCCTTCCCCCTCCTAGTCCTTCCCTCCTCCTAGTCCTTCCTCCTCCTAATCCTTCCTCCCTAGTCCTTCCTCCTCCCAGTCCTCCTCCTCCTCCCAGTCCCTCCCTCCTCCCCAGTCCCTCCTCCCAGTCCTCCTCCTCCTCCTAGTCCTCCTCCTCCTCCTCCTAGTCCTCCTCCTCCTCCTAGTCCTCCTCCCAGTCCTTCTCCTAGTCCTTCCTCCTCCCAGTCCTCCTCCTCCTCCCAGTCCTCCTCCTAGTCCTTCCCTCCTCCTAGTCCTTCCCCTCCTCCCAGTCCTTCCTCCTCCTAGTCCTCCTCCCTCCTCCCTAGTCCTCCTCCTCCCTAGTCCTCCCTCCTCCCAGTCCTTCCTCCTCCGTCCCTCCTCCTCCTAGTCCTTCCCTCCTCCTAGTCCTTCCCTCCTCCCAGTCCTTCCTCCTCCCAGTCCTTCCTCCTCCTAGTCCCTCCCTCCTCCTAGTCCCTCCCTCCTCCTAGTCCCTCCTCCTCCTAGTCCCTCCCGTCCTCCTAGTCCCTCCTCCTCCTAGTCCCTCCCTCCTAGTCCCTCCCTCCTCCTAGTCCCTCCCTCCTCCCTCATAGCCTATCTCCTTGACTACACCATCATTTACACTACAGCATTGAGTATGGCTGTGTAGTGGATGAAGTAGGGATGAAAACGTAAATAATGTAGTGAATTTTATTATCCGGCCAAGTGAGAGATATTTTTGGTGCTAGGTGTGGGTGTGGGGAGGGTGACAGTGTGGAGTGGGGAGGGTGACAGGTTTGGAGTGGGGTGGGTGACAGGTTTGGAGGGTGTGGAGTGGGGAAGGTGACAGGTGTGTTGGGTGTGGGTGGGGAGGATGGCAGGTATATTGGGTGAGTGGTGACAGTGTTTGGGGGAAGTGACAGGTGTGTTGGGATTGGGGTGGGGAGGGTGACAGGTGTGTGGTGGCAGTGGTTGGGGAGAATGACAGGTGTGGTGGGTGAGGAAGGTGACTCTCCACACTACACCCTACAGCACATTATATTCTCTCTCTCTCGTCAATAAACTAGTGATGTCATTGGTCGTGGTAGTGAATTGCTTTGTCATTGGTTGTGGTAATGAAAGGCATCACGCCATTGGTTGTGGTAGTGAGACGTGACGCCATTGGTTATGACTGACATTGAGAAACATGACGCCATTGGATGTAGTACCGGGTAGGATTCTGATCACTTGCCCTCAGTTAGAGGTAATGGGCACACAAAGGCAAGAGTTATTGTGCTTCTGTTGTCACCACCCTTATGCCCTCCAGTCTGCCCACCCAACATGTCTCTCTTTCTCACCCAACTTACCCATGCCACCCAACAAGCTCACCACCCAAGCATGTCTGCCACCCTTGTTCAGTTCGCTCTCTTTGCATCAACACCATACACCCACCACTACTGCTGCAGGTACTCCTTCAAGATGTTTGGGGGTGGTCCCAGAGCCGCTGGTGTTTCCTGGGGCACTTTCCCAGTACAGTACCCAGAGAGCATTACAACGATCAAGTCAGAATCCCGCATCTCCAAGTACATTTCATTTCAAGTAGTAAGCGTATCATTTTAGCAAATCCTTAAAAAGAGCCATTGGCATTTCAGAATGGAATGTATGATGTACAGTACAGTATTTATAAACAAGGAAGCAAGGAATTAATTGAATTATCCATGGTTAAAATGTAGTAAGATTTATTGTACAGAGTAATTTTTAAATAAAAGGTGAAGAGTATGTGCTGTTATAGGTGCACATATTTTGATCAACACTGATGCCTCGTATTATACCAAGAGAGTTGGGTCAGAACTGAGACATCACACCCACTACCATATATACTGTACAGTCTTGTGTTCCCCAGGGGAGGGAGCAGCCAGTCAACTCTTTGTTCGTTCCTCCCGCATTTTGTGTTCTCTCTACCCTTGAACCAGTGAAGAGGTGTTGGTATTGATTTACGCAAGAGTTAATGTCAACAAGACGATGTGTCGCAAACAACTCCCAGCTCCACGTCTTAAAGGTCAAGGTGCCAGTTTGAGGTCGACTTGCACATTTCAACAATTATTAAATGAAATATGAAAATGTAACATCACTGATGCTTTCTGCCCAAAACTTTCCTTAATCTTTTACATGATTGTGTATTATTAAGTCTCCCCCAAGTAAAGGCTGCTGAGGAACACCAGGTTTAAGGCTCTAACTCATAGCTCTTCTTTCTATTTTGATTTACTAGCCATCAATGTCTGGGTCATTACGGCCGTACTATTGATTTCTTTGTCATAGTAGAGTCGACCCTTGGCATCCTCTATTGTTCTTCCGTTGGTCACTTGTCATAGGTCAAGGTCACGAGGTCAGAAGTCGGGACATTGTCAGTCTCATAATTTGTGCATCATCACAGGGATATGTATCATCACCAGACTAAGTGCTGAATACCTCATGCAAGTTGCGTCAAAGGTCAAAGTCACAGGAAGGTCAGAGGTCAACCTATTATGTAAACTCTAGCTGATAACTCCTATTAGACATAGTGCACAACACCATGTTTCATATGTGAAGGTCACCACTGAAGGTCAAAACCTTGTCCAGAGCAAAACTTTTGTGTTATATATAGATATTTCGATGACATGTCAGATTACTAATTAATCTACCCTGTATTGTTTATGGTCTTCAAGAAAAAAATGTACAGTACATTTATTTATTTATTTTTTTTTTTAAGAAAAGGCTTTGCCCGTTTGACCTCTCTGTCTGTTTGTCATTCGTGCACTTCATGTCTGCTCCATAACTTTTGAACCTGAGAAGAAAATATTGTGATAATATATACGCAGTAAGTTTAATACCATCGATGTAATATGTCAGCAGTAACAGCCAGGTCAATGTCAGGATTTACGTGTGCATCCTTTAAGTGTAATCAGGAAGAGTCCATTGGTTTTACATATAGTACCGTAATCTTGTTTTTGTTTATTATACACGTGCTGTATATTGATTGCTTTTAATGTATTACAGTAGGGTATTTTAATTTTGATACAGGGAGAAAGGTACAGTATAATATTCTGCAGTTGAATAACATTTGGGTGTGAATATGTAACAAAAATTTTCTCACTCATACAAAATATTCCCCAAGACAGGGAAGAACAATATATTTACCATAAAAATATCAGTGATGATGTACTTATTACAATGTTGTTAAGCTCTGTGTATTCTAAAATGCATATATTTCCTTGCAGGATGTTGGCAAACACACTGCAACCGTTCTGTGGTGTGACAAGCCAGCGACTAGTTCGTGACAGTTATTTCTGCTGCTGCACCGGATATATGTGCAATGAAGAAGTGGCGGTGGAACCAGAGACCAGCCCTGCTCCAATCCTCACACCTCGACCAGGTAATTTTCTCACAAAATTTTCATGTGTTCGTTTTTGTTTAGTATATTATCATGCACAGTATTGTTATTTGGATTACTGTATATAATGATGAAGAAGAGACCCCACCCAGCTAGTATCACCATATGGTTAAACATACTAAGTTAACCTAACCTCACCCCCCTAGGTAACATCAGGGTGTCCAAACATAGTCATTACTCTTATTACAATGGCCTTTTTGCCAGCACGCCTTCCTAGGGGCTAATCTTCAGTTGATTGTATTTTTTTATTTCATTGGTATTTTATTGTGTTGTTTTTGTAATTATTCACTACGAGAGGAGCACAGTTATACATCAACCTAAATATTACTTGTTGTGATTCTTGATTCTCTGAGATGGAGCTTCAAGATAACTACAGGATGATGGTCGCATTTTGCATTAGTATTATAGTAAATTGTAGTTTCAGTAATAATGTTGGTTATATTGGGAATATTTATAATAGTATCCATAGCTGAGTGTATTACTATAGTTATGTATGATAAATTTACTGATTCTGGTCCAGTTTTGATCAAATGTAACATAAGAACATAAGGAGTCTGCAATAGGCTGTTGGCCTGTGCATGGCAACTCCTGTCGAGAGTTACTTGTAATAGTATATGTACTGCCGAAGCAAGTGTATCTGTGTCTGTTCAAACCTGTACTGCTGATAGGTTGGTTTACATGGATACTTTGTTCTGATTGGTTTACATTATTCAGTACCAGTACTTTGCTTCTGACTCCCTGATTGCAGTAACCACCTAACTACAGTGATCTTAATACAGTGATCACCTGACTGCAGTGACCACCTTATTGTAATAACCTCCTTTATTAGGACGTAGTGCAGTACCTAAGAAAAAAAAAGGAGTTTGAAGACTTGATTGTGAATGCTGTAATGCATGTCTTCTTTGCAGTAACAGATGTGACCATAACAGTTGTTGACTCATACCTGCTCATCTGAATTCCCTCCATGATTTTCGTCTTGTAATTTAGGATATTTGCGAGTAAATTTTGGCAGTGTATCAGAAGCCAGTCTAAATACTGTACACGTCTCTTAGTCCTCAGATTTCTTTAAAATGACAGAATATGTACAGTAGTGTGAGGTAATAGAATGATCAGTGGTATCGTTACAAGATAAACCTGATGATGGAGAGAAGACGCCCTTGGAGGGAATGCCGATGTACTTGTAGTACTGGGAGTGACTTTTTTTATAAGAGTATTTTATTACATCTGGATGTAGTATTGTTGTGGGCAGACATCCATCTTTATCCATCTCTCTGTCTTTAAACTTTCTGCATTTTCAACTTTGTAAAAGCTATTGGCTTAGTTTAGCTGCAACTTCATCGAAATGTTCTTTGATTGGTCCACCATTGAAATTGTCTTACGGTATGAATATTTCCCATCACTATTCGATTTTAAGGCTTCACAAGGTTCTTGTTTTCATTTGCTACAACTTCTCAGCACTTCATATGTACACATTCTCCTATTCTGCATTATACCCTCAAGGATAATTTTTCCAAGGTGGGTAGTTATTTACAACCAATTTAAGTGCAGTACAAACGTTTACATTACTGTACCTATTTTAATTTTTGTTCCATGAAACATGAAAAACAAATACTATGCATTAAAATAACACAATATTATATGAAGTTATATGAGCTAACTGATTTACACCCCACCAGGGCTGAGGTGGAGGGAGTGAAGGGTCAGCCAGTCAGACTCTTGAGGGTTTATGTCATAGGACAGGTCAGGTGGTATAGGTAACTCCAGGATTAAGTTGGAGACTATGGTTTTCAATTTATTACCAATTATTGCACACTTTTTGTCCTATTTGGCCTTGTTACTACCACTTGCACTCACTGAGGAGATGAAGCAAAGTACAGTACAGTTTACTGTCTACAAAAAGAAAACCCATCATAATAAACAGTCACAAGTATATGATGTGTGTGGAATGCTAGTAAGTATACAGTATGATGAGGTGCACAGCCTACCCTTAGGATAGCCTTGGTAACCTAGTGGATCAGACCAATACCTGTGCTAGTCCATTATATTTTATTGATTTTTTCTGATTTTTGCAGTTATAGTACTGTATACTTGGTAACATTTATGGAGCATGTGGTTTTCTTCTGAATTGGGTTAAGTGACTGGATTAATTTGACAAAAACTTTAGAATACTGTACAGTACTACAGTAATTTTTCTAAATTATGAATGGGCTAAATAAGATCCATTTTATGCAAATTTCTGGTTTATGATTGGTTTAAGTAAGGAAAGGAGTCTTTATTTGGCTGAAATATATAATGAAGTCTTTTAATTTAAGCATAATAATTAATTATACAATATTTACACACTTTTATTACAGATGAGGAGGAGGATAAGTCTTTTATGGTGGTGTATGGGGTATTAGCAGTGGCCTTTGTGTTGGTGGTAACGTGCATTACAGTCACAGCTCTACGCTGGAGGAGAACTAAACCACCCTCTCACCCCATGCCAGTTGAAGAGCCGACCACCTCCCCATGTATTGATATGGACTCTATTAAGTTCATGGAAGTCATAGGTACGTTTTTACATGCTTTATAATATTTTGTTTTTACCCTTGGTTTATATCTTCAGAATAAACTTTTGACTGTGCTGTTGCTCATATCAGACAGTGCCATGGTATTAATTTATATGTTTCTTTTAGGTCAAGGTCGATTTGGCACAGCCTACCGAGCTGTGGTACAGGGTGAGGAAATAGCAGTGAAACTGTTTCCCCAGCACTACAAATCTTCATATCAAAATGAGAAATATATTTATTCTCTTCCCCTAATGGAACATTCCAACCTTTTGTCATACTTAGGTAAGTATTATACAGTACTGTACCACATTTCCTTATAATTTCCTTGTATTTCCCTTTACAGTAAACCCTCACTAATCCAAACTAATTAGGGGACAGTCACTTTGGAATATTTCATGGCAAATGAGATAAAACCATCTTTTGTCATTATAAGTACACATTTACAGGCTTTTGTATGTTACTTACAGTGCCTACTTGTATCTGTTACAATAAAAAAAAATACATCAACATTACCTAGGTTATAACTAAGGGGAAATTATAAACCAACTTATTGACACCCTTGAAAAATAGTGCACTGGCAGCTCCATTCAGAGTGGCTTTATATCATATTGTTTGTACTTATTTTTATGCGTAAACATTTTGTAAGTTTAGTTGACTTTCACTGCACAACACATTAACATTTACCATAGTGAAGAAACAAGGAACACTATTCATAAAGACAAAGACAACATAAATGCAACCCAGTACAGTACAGTGCCTAGAGCATGCAACTCAGGGAATTACTGTACAGTATATAGTTTCTGAATCCTTATGATTATTAGATGAACTTACCTAAGGTGAAATTAGTAGAGGTTGCTCTAATTTGAATAATTTATGACTTCTGCAGTACTAACCATTTACCACTTATGGTTGTCTGCTTCAATCTTCCCAAATGAAGAGAACTATTTCAGGAAATACATTATTTTCTGAATCCCCATGATCCCTAGATGTGCCTTTTAAAGGTAAAATCAGTAGGGGGTTCCCTTATCTTAAATTATTGGAATATTTTACCATTTTTGGTGTCATCTATTTGTTTTTAGTTTTTTGTTCACTTTTCCTTCTAAACAAAGGCAAACAATTTAGTAAACCACATACTGTACAGTAGTTTTTAAATCTTCATAATTCTTAAATGTATCTTTCAAAGGTAAAATCTGAGGGGCCTTGTCATATGCATAATTTTTTATCTCTTTGTTACTGGATTTTGGTTCCTTGTATATGTCCATTTAATTGTTCCCAGAGAAGATTCAATAACCCCAGGAAACCACAAATACTAACTGAATCTTTTTGATCCCTAAATAGGGATTTTGAAGGTCAAATCACTTGGGGTACCCTTATGAATTTTGAATAAGAACCACATCCATATTCAGTACTGTATTAAATATTATTGTCATAGGTAGTGTTGAAGAGTGATATAGATTTTCATCTTTCGGTTTCATAATTTTCTAATGACTGAAGATAAATAAATTTTTTAAAATTCATATACTGTACACATACTTATGTATCATCACCAGACAGTGTGCTGAGAACATGAGCCAGGTCTGTACAGTATTTAAAAAAACAGTCACATATAAAGCTGAAGGTCAATTACAGCTTTTTATTCCATGACCGTCAAGGTTGGGGCTGGAATTTTTATGAATGATGAAGCTGAATAGGTTTATTTTTTATCTAAAGTACACCCAAATGTTATGTACAGTGTTCATAAACATTTCTCATCAAAATATAGAGTACAGAAATTTAATTACAGTACAATACAATGCAGTATTAACATTTACACCACAGGATAAAACTACATTGCATATCATGATGTATTCATGAGCTGGGAGGGTAGTGTGAAGATGGCAGCAGCCACAGCACCAAGAACAGTTATATACTGTACCTCCATGTCCAAAGTACTTGTGAGCTTAGATTACTTGTTTGTAGTGTAAATTATATTGTTTGTGACTTCCTTATATGATATTAAGAGGTTCTTAAGTCTTTCATAATTGTCTCAATCCAGATTTATTAATGCTCCATAACTTGTCTCAGGCTTATTAGTGTGTAGTGTGTATTCTTGGCTTGCTTACTTTATTAGTGTTCTGTGCAAAAATTTACTTTATTAATGCACACCTTATTTTTAATCCATTTTTCTTTGCAGGAAATAGTAATGATTTTTTTTTTTTAAATTCCCCTAATTTTAACATATACCCTGTGGGGTGGCTACCGAAGGTGTGAGGTGGTGTAAATGGTAAAAGAAATAGATAAATTTATACTGTCTGTGTAAGGTACTGTACTGTATATTCATGAACTGTGAATTTGTTTTGTATGTAGATTGAGGACACATGATACAGTATGACTGTATGTCCTCACTTGGATGACTTACATAAAGTGACTGCCTGTGTATAATCAAACCTAAATAATACAGTACAGTTATACTACTCTGTCATTCTCCAATGAAATTTCGTACACTAAGTCATAAGTGTGGGAAATACACAGTTGATACACATTTGATTAGGTGATTCTTCTTTTATGACTTTTGATAAGGAGTCCTGCATAGCCAGTGTAGCAACCTTCTAAAAATTTAGACTATTAGGAAAGATGGTAAAATTTTCAGACTTGGCTGGATGATGGCCATTTGAGCAGATGGTTGTATTTAGAGGACTTTCAGAGTTAATATTTTTTATGATGTCTATAAATGCCAGCACTAAGGGGGGATATGATATCTTCAGATAATTCTTGATGGAAAAGTTCAATATTTTACATTATTGTTCAAATTGTCTAATGAAACACTAATTTCTTTAACGATGATCAGGTGGAGGCGATTGTGATGGACCTGATGGTAACATGTATTATGGATTGGTGCTGTCATATTGCCCCAAAGGTCGTCTTAGCTCCTACTTAGCCGAAAATACTATTAGCTGGTCCACCTTTTGTCAGATTGTTTTGAGTGCCACCAGTGGTCTTGCACATTTACATTCAGATATAAGGAAAGGAGGTAAGCATGATAATGTCTTAATTTATAAATAATTGCACAGTATAATATATATTCTCTGTGTTTGTGTGGTGTGCACAATCCAATTAAAGCTGAAAGTGCAACATATATATATTTTTTTACCATACATTTTATTGCTACAACTTAATGAAAATTAGGTGACATATGGTGAAATTTGTTCTGTGTTGCTTAAGATGTTGAAGGGGTGAGCCTCAAAGATAGAATTCTTGTTCCTTTGATTCTGATGGTGAACAGAAGTCCTGTCGCTTCTGTTATTACATTTGTTCTTTCTGTGAACTTTTACTGTAATCCAGGCAGGTCATAGCAGTTCTTGACATTTTACAACTTACTTGTATCTTACCAGTAACTTAGTTGGTAATCATTCAAATTCTCAACCCTTGAGTTGTAATTATTGTTTCATAGCCAGACATGGTTCAAAGAATATAATTGCCTCTGGTGTGCATAGACTACGGTAAGCAAGCTTTTGATGAGTATGGATTAATGCCTAATAGTACATTAATAATACAGTATTAGTTTCAGATTTGAAAACTGCATGTCAGTTATAGTCCATGTAAAGCCTTTAAGATATTAAAAACAAAACAAAAAACAAGTCATAACACAAAAATGATTTTAATGGTACTGAAAATGTATAATTTTGATATATGGGATAACCAAATGTACAGACAGAACAAGTAAAGGGCATTAAAGGCAAGGTATATATTGTACTATACCTATATTGACAACTGTATAATCCTTGGCATACTGGTATATGTTTTTGTGTCTCCAGTGCATATGTCAGGAATCATATTGACTTAATTGTTACTCCATTCTTGTGTCCTACCCAAGTTTGTTAATAGGATTTCACTGAAAGTATCCTGCATAGAATCATGAAATATTTAAAGCTTCTCTATTTTCATCGTTATATTTTCTGATTAGTTTTTCAAATTGCTTGGTTAATTTTTGCAGTAGGGAAATAATTCTTTTACATACATATCTGTGAACTAATATTCAATTTATTTGTATTTTGTTTCAGATATCGTCAAACCATGTATTAGCCATAGGGATTTCAACACCCGCAATTTGCTACTCACCGAAAATCTGTTGTGTGTTGTCTCTGACTTGGGCTTTGCTATTCACACACAAGGAGCAAAATATTTCATCAATGGAGAAGAGCAGCATGCTGAGACATCTTCATTGACAGATGTGAGTTCATTGTATGTGGTTATAATATAAATTAAAAATAAACGTCCCTACATCTCGGTTACATCAAAGAGCATACAGCAGCCTTTGAAGCATCAAAAGCTATATACTGTACATTACAGCACTGCACCATAGAACTCATCTTGTGGAAAATTTATCTCTATCTTGAGAATGCTTTCAGCTGGGCTGTAATGGCTTTGTAAAATATTAATTTTACTTTCAGGTTGGAACACTGAGATACATGGCTCCTGAAGTTCTTGAAGGAGCTGTAAACCTTAGAGATTGTGAGGCAGCCCTCAAGCAGATAGACATTTATGCTTTGGGTCTTGTTCTGTGGGAATGTGCAGCACGTTGTCATGATCTTTATCAAGGCCTCCAAACGCCTCCATACATGTTGCCTTTCCAGGCTGAAATTGGTAAGTTTTGACTGTGTTTTGTAAGTGAGAATTACTGCTCAATGCAAAAACTTATTCGGTCTTGTCCTCCTGTATATTGTATCCGGCTGTTACAAATGACAAGCCCTGTAGAAAAAGCAGGCTTTTTTTATCACAAGTCACTTGTTTCTTCCCCTTGTACATAATATGGATCATAAAAGGTCTGATGATTGATTTTGCTAAACCATTTGCTCAGTGTTTAACTCATCATTTAATTACATTGTTACAGGTCTTCACCCATCCTTTGAGCAGGTACAAGTGCTGGTAACCCGCAATAAGGCTCGGCCATTATTCCCATCAGTGTGGAAAGACACTAATCCTGCGATACGCTTACTTAAGGAAACAATTGAAGATTGCTGGGACCATGATGCTGAAGCGCGCCTCTCAGCTATGTGTGTTGAGGGAAGGTTGGCAGAGCTGCCAGTCCTCTGGGACAGATATAAATGTATGATACTTAAGTGTTTTCCAGGAAGACATTTACATTACCATATTTCCCACCATATTAGATGCACGGCCATATTAGATACACCCCTAACTTAGCAAAAATACATAAATAAAAAAAAAATAAGTTTCTCAAGCAGGCAGCAGCTTCTTCATCAGTGTTACCTAAGCTTAGCCTTCTTTACATCTTAAATTACCTTAGATTAACAGCTCCCGTATGGTTTTTTCTCCCAGAGAAGCAATTTATTGTAAGAGTTCAACATTTTTATCCATTTTGTCAGGGTTTATATGAAGTTATCATTGTAAAAACTCAAAGTATCAGACAGGTAATGATAACATGTAACCTTATTTTCTACACCTTTGAACAATCACTATGTCTGCAGCTACAGCATTAGCTAAAATATTAATTTTTACATCTAGAGCGATATATCCTCCACCCCTTTATTTATTTATTTTTTTATATATATTGTATTGTTGTTTTTTGTAACAGGTGCTACTGTATGCGTATTTTATATGGCAGGAAATACGGTATTTTGATGAAAGAAAATAAGTTTTTGTATCATTTTAAAGATCATGATATTTTTTATCAATAACTCTAGTTAGGCTTCTGATTGAATGATTTTAGACTTTGCAAGGCAAGTTCTGACATTTTAATATGAATTCATCTTGACTGGTATTTAAAGAAGTCAGTTGTCTTTTGAAGTACAGATATTATAATGTCAGTTCATTAAATATACCTGTACTGTATATTACTTTTTTATCACAACAGCGAGCCTAGGAGTGAATGGTGTGAGTCCTACTATGAACCCGATGTCAAATCTGACAATGAGTCAGAGACAAGGAGAAATGTTCAGTGGCCTGGTAGGAAATGGAGGAAAGGTTATTAGCAATGTTATCACACCGAGAGATAAGGAGTCCAGTGTATCGGAAGCAACTGTAGAGACAACTATCACTGCTTCCCCATCTGAGCCCCCACCAGATATTTGTCTTGGTAAGAATTGTGATTGTTTCATATCTGTTATTCCTTAAGCCACAAGATTGATTGGCACTCTCGAACAGAAATGGTTTAATTGGTTGGCCCTCTCCCAAGGCAGTGAACTCTCAGAGGATAATTTAGGCATACATCAGTCTAAGGACAGGCTTTCATTACGTTATATTATGTTTTTTTGTCTTAAGTCATACAGACAATTTGCTTGTTCCTCTCTCTGTACTAATTAATATCTGTTATTTGACTTGTCATTCAGCTTGCATTGTCAGAATGGAACATTGAAATCTTAGTCACTGAGATTTCTGTTATAAAGGTCTTAAGGTGACTTAACATACAAATCACAGAATGATGTGAGTGGCCTGGAAGTGTGATAGATTGTTCCACCCTCAGGGCAACCATATTAAGGGTTCTTTTCATAATGCTTGTTGTGTGCTGAATAGCTCTAGTCTTAAGCATTGTCAGATTTGCACTAGAATTTTACTTACAGTCTCTCCTCGACGACCAGGTCGTAAGTCAAAAAAGCGAAAAATAATACATAGAAATTCTAAAATGAAATACAGTACTATAAAAGTAATCAATAATGAAAAATGAATAAAATGTTACTGTGAACTTATCTTTAAAATAGTCAGCTGAATGCACATGGGGCCTCAATAATTTTTTAATTAAGCATGTAGATTACATTAATTGGATGATGCAGAGGAGGAGACAGGGCTGGGTGGGTCATCAAGTTCGCTTTCTTCAGACAGGCTAACATACTTACTTGTTGAAGGTATTGGGTCATCTTTAGGGAGCGAAGAGGCAGCAGTGGTGGGGCATGAGGAGACAGCAGTGGGGGACTTCTTAAAAAATATTCCAATGTAGACCGCACAGTTTGCCTTTTCTTTTCATTGTAAATCTCCCTGTAGCAAGTAAGTGCATCCTGGAGCAGTCTGTCAACTTTTGCAAAAAGCTCAACATTTTGATCCATTTCTTCAAACATTTGCATCCCCTTATTAATAGTAGTAAATGCCTCTGCCATTTGTTTCACTGAAAACTTTTTGGGGAGTGCAGGTTCTTCTACATTTTGTCTCTCTTCTTCTCTGGAATTTTCTGTGCATCTAGTTCAATAAGATCCTCATTAATTAGCTCTTCTGCTACACTTTCCACCAACTGCTCAACATCTTCATTATCAATTTCTAACTCCAGCTGTTGACCCATCTGCACTATCTTGTTACTAATCTCAGAAATTGCTTCATCTTCAAAAAATCCTTTGAAACTGTTTACATATCTTTTTAGTTCCTTTTTCCATATTCCATTCATGCACTGACCTGTAGCTTCATCCCATGCTTCAGCTATGTTCTTTGTACATTGCAAAATGTTGTAGTCATTCCAAAACTCTGAGTGTTTTCTCACCTTCAGTAGCAGCAATAGCCTTTGCGAAGGTCGTACGTAAATAATCCGCTTTAAAACCAGCAATAGCACCTTGAGCCATCGGTTGGATGGTAGAGGTAGTGTTAGGTGGAAGGGTGCAGGTCGTCCATGTGTAGTGGGTGTCCCGGAGCATTATCTAAAATTAATAAAATCTTGAACGCAACTCCTTGTTGCAGACAATACTCCTTGGCTCGTGGAATGAAACAACTCAGGAACCAATCCTCAAACAGTGGTAGGGTCATCCATGCTTTCTTATTACTGCGATAAAACACTGGCAGTGTGTGCTTGCTGACATTTTTAAAAGCCCTTGGGTTCTCTGAATGATATATCATAAAGGGTTTTACCTTGAAACCAGCTACATTCCTCCCAACAGAAGTGTGATTCGGTCCTTGAATGCCTTGAATCCCGGCATGGTTTTCGCCTCTTTGTGGATGTATGTCCGTTCTGGCATGCACTTCCAGAATAATCCAGTTTCATCCACATTAAATATTTGCTCAGGCAAATAATTTCCCTCCACGATGACACGATCTAGCTCCTCTTTAAAAGCTTCGGCAGCACCCACATCAGCAATTGCTGCCTCTCCACTCACCTTTACACTGTGCAAACTGTAACATTTCTTAAACCTTTGGAACCACCCATGACTTGCTGTGAAGTTTTGGTCGCACTTATCTCCTGCCTGCTCTTTCAGGCTTTCGAAAAGGCTTCTTGCCTTAGCCTGTATGGTTAGAAAGCTTAAGGGTACACTCTTTTGCAGCTGATCTTCCAACCACATCACAAGTAATTTTTCCATCTCATGAAGAGGACCCTGTCTTTTTTTTTTTTATTATTGTTCCCTTTATAGATGCTGATCCTTTCACTACCTCACGAATTCGTTCCTTATCCTTCAAAGTTGTTGATATCGTCGAGTGAGAGAAGCCAAGGTTGCGTGAAATGGTTGCTACCATTTTTACATTTTCATATTGCATTATTATTTTCATTTTCATCTCAAAAGTAATTGACTGTCTCCTTTTCTTATCAGCACAATGAGAACTCTCACTTTTATGCTTGCCAGCCATTTTAAAAGGAATTAGAAACAAAAATTTCGTCAGTACACAGCGCGATCACTAACAACAACGATGGCTAAACACCAACTGAGCGGGCTACGGTGTGGATGCTGTACACCATGAGGCAGCCCAGCCCACACTGTCATACGGGACTGAAACGTTTCGTTACTAGAAAATACGTAATTTGAAAAATATTTTATACGACCACAGCAGTCGTGGTCGTATGTCCGGGTTGTAGTAAGTTGAGTATGTCGTAAGTCGAGGAGAGACAGTACTGTATTGCTTTACAGAACAGATTCTGTTACTCTGTTATATACAGCAAAAGTAAACCTGCCATGAGGTAATCAAGGCTAATCCATGTAAGCCTGGAAAATAGCCATAAAATGGTGAGGATGATGATGACTTGGCAGATTGTACAGTATAACAAGATGCCACCTGGTTACAGGTTAAAAAAAAATCAAGATCAATCCTTCATTTTTATTTCATTATGGAAGTGAATAAATTTACAGCTTTTAGAATAAAAAGTGAGGAAATCCCCCACCCCCTTTTATTTTATATTTCTCTTTGCTTTTTTCAATACTCAATCTACCAAGATTCACATGACCCATAGATTAATATCCCAATTTCTAAGACATTATAGCTCTGAGAGGAACTGGAATTTTGCTTGACAAGTATTGTCATAAACTGCATGCTGACTAGGAGTGTGTCATATCAAATTGTACCCTACATAAATGCATACATGACTAGTCCTTTGATAATGGGATATTTTTTTATTTCAGGTAAAAATCAATTAATTGGGACTCTGCAGCCTCCTATACCACCCCTCCAGCCACACCAAGGCCGCAACCCATGCATGGAGCGCAACCTGATAAGAGAAGTGCCCCAAGAACTTACTGTTTCGGGCAATATCCTCATAGATCATTTGAAGAGCAATGATATAAATTCTATTAATACTATTAATTCTGTGAATTTGATGGATGCCCTGGATATCCAACATGCTCTAGAGTCTCATGGGTTTACTAATGAACATCTTATGCCTTTGTTGAATGGACACTCTAACACTGCATCAGTTGTGTCACAGCCACGCCCCACTTTGCCTCCTCCAACCTTAGTGCAACCAATACCATATTTGCAGAATGAAGTTCGTTCCATTGATAATCAACCAAAACGACAAAATACAGCTGTACGAGATGGAGAGAACCGTGATAATGGTCACTCAAGTGGCAAGGGTAGTTCATGGCGACGGTGGCGTAATGCTTGGGAAGATCGACTGAAATCAATAATTCCAAGGCGGCGGCACCACACTGGAGAAGATGAGGAGAGACAGGAGATCTTAGTTACCCCCACTAGTAGTAGCTTGTCAGAGCCACCAACGCCACTAACTGCAACACAATCAGTGACAGTCACAGCAGCACATTTACCCATGCAAACTGAGGTGCTTCTTACAAATGGGGGCCCTCATACTGTGATCTCTCCAAACCATACACTAAACACCCAGCATTCATCACTACCAAGTTACATAGCTGAAACTGAAATAGGTATTGCGAAATTGCATCTTCAAAATGGATATGCACCAATTATTAGATCAAGACAAGGATCAAATGACAGTGGACTTAATAAATCAAGTGAGAACAGTGTTAGTTTTGTGGACAGTGATAATTCGTGTGAGAAATTAAAGAGACCTACTACTCTTACTCTACCAGACAGGTCACAGCAGGCTCTTGTAAATAAAACCGTAAAGCAGCAGGTAAACCAAGAGGTAACTCAAGACACTGAAAGTACTGATTGTCAAGAAAGTGATCCTGGAGTGGAGATTGAAGAGTCGCCACCACTGAGGAAAGCAAAGCACCGTGTGAAGACTCCTCGAAGACCCATGAATCCTCGTCTCTCACTATATGACGACCGTATTATGGGATGTGATGAAGGTGAAGAAGATGGTCAAGTTGTCAAAGGTGAAGGTCAGTTAGATGAAAGTCTCTCACACTCGCTCCCTATTCACATGGACACCTTGGAGCAACAGCAACCATTCCTCACCAAAAGTGTAGTTGTAACAGCAGCACCCTCACAGCACACTAGTGCAGCTGTCCTTAGGCATTCTAAGGTTGCTAGCACAGTTAGTACTAACAAAGCCAATAGTAGGGGTAGTAGCCAAGGATCACTTGGACAAGAGCTTCCTTATTCTCATACTCAGCCAAATCCCCAAGCAGTTGGTGTCCTGTAAATGTGATATAGGGAAATTAATGAAAGTGCCCCTTTTAAGGTAATCAACCCGCCGCTTGCTTTGTTTTGTTATTTTGAAATGTAAGTTGTCTGATGCATTTCAAAAATTCAGTGATATAAATTCTCACAGGACATAGCCCTGCTGAGTGTGTGTAATTTAATGAAATATTCCAAATCATTATGGATATTGAGTTATGCTGCCAGTAGTGTGGAAGAGACATATTATTATTACTAGAGCAAGAGAGCACTGTATGTTAATAACATATATTTCAAGGTTTTGTTTCCTGATTTTCATATTACTTCTCCTTGGTTTTAATGTATGGAGACATAACCCACACATTTGTTCATATCTTTTGTAGATTTCTTTTCTTCTGTATTTTATGCAAGTAGACCAACTGATTTCCTGTAACCCATAGTAAAGCCACATTGCTTTGAAAGTTGATTTACTAAGCAGCTTTTTTTATATTTAGCACAAGGTTAAAATAACAGGTAGTTGTTACTTCCTTCTGGATTATAAAGATGGTGACTTGTTTTTTCATTCAACATGATGATGAAATGCAGACAGTGGCTACTTTCCTTTTGATTTTTACGTTGGTGATTGTTGAAGAGTATTTTTTTTTCCCCAAAAATAAAGCCTTAAGGGCTAACACATTCTAGTCTCTTATTAAGTAATTACTCCATACACAGTACCTGGTGTGGCTTGACTGGGACCATCCAAGCAGTAATTTTTATAGGTACTCAATATAATGATTAGACAAGTAAAAAAGTAAATAATTCATTGCATTATACTAATGCTCCTAGTTAATGAGGTTCTAGTGAACTTCCACCAGTTTTAGTAAATTAAAGTATTTCATGACAGATCCTATTTATATTTATTATTTATATTAATGTAGAGATTAACCAAGTCCAAGGATAAGATCTTGTTTGTACAGTATGAGAATATCAAGTTGGAATAATGAGAGACATTTGATTGAAAAATCATTTTAAGATGCAAAAATTGTTCACTGAAGTATTAGTGTAATGTACAGTACAGTCCTCACATGTTGCCGGGGAGGTCCTGAGTCAGGTGACCACCAGGAATTTTGTGGTTTGTAAACTTTTTACTTTTATTGCTGTAATATCCAATTATAGTTTATGATCTGCAGCAGATTTTTATTTCATCATTATTTTGACTCATATCAAGATTTACAGATTTTAGTTAATGTTTAAAGAATATTTAGAATGTTACAGTTCAATATTAATGAAGCAGAATTATTCTTCATGAAAATGGTGGAACATGTTGCAATAGAATATACTGTACAGTAGATGTACAGTACAGTATTATTTTGTTTTCTTCTTTTGAATTCAAAATTAATCTGAAATTTGATTCATGGTTAAGGTGTGAAAATGCAAATACAGTATACTGTATATCTGTTCCCACCCACAAAGACCAAAATTTAGGGCTGTTAAATAAGCATGTTTATTATTATTATTATTATTATTATTATTCACTTACTGCTTCCTCGTAATTGCATTGATATTTTCATCTTAAGCTTAAATGTAAATACTGTATACAGTTGATATTTTAATGGACCAATAAAAGTGAGAAAATAAGATAGAATAATTGGAGTGCATAAATGATGGACAAAAACCTCCAATGTCTTTTTACCACCTTATCAGAAATTTTAGTCTTGACAGTTTTTCCAGTGGTGGTCAGAAGCTGGAAACAGATGTTGTTATGTTAGGCTTTATTGAACTGAGATTGTTTAAGGCAGTTTGTGATTTGTTTTGGTTGCTTTGACAGTTCCAAGTATTTTCATAGTCTTTATTTGTATTTTGTAATTCATTGTGTCAAACATTTTCTTCCCATGAGGGTTTTCAGTAATTAGATTTGCTGGAAGGTATTTAGATATGTATTGTGATTTTCTGTATATGTAATCATGAGTTATAACCTGATATATAAATCTATATATTGTTGCTGTATATTTTAAAACTCAGAATATTAAAATGGGAAGAGGTGGTTGTGCCTGCACGCAAGAACTCACACAATATCTCTCTTAATCATCCCTGAGAGCTGACAGACCTCAAGAACTTAAATTTTTCATTCTGAAGACATTTATTGTGAATCAAGTTTGTATAGTACTGTATTTTGCTGAATATAAAAAAAATTCATTAAAAACAATGTGGTTTAGTGAGCTTGAACTACAGTCCATAGATTTTAATACGGTATAAAGATTGGTGGTAAAGCTAGCGGTGAGATATAAAGGATTTGGGCTCTTCCTTCTTTTTTCTCTCATGAATAATCATAGTGATTTTCAGTTATTTCTCTTCCTCATTATTTTCTTCCAATCTGATTGTTAGTTCAACTTGTCTGTCTCCATCAGACTCCTCCTTCAAAATCTGAGTTTCTTGAGAAGTCATGTCTCTGGCAAAATGAGTTGGGATACTGCAAATGCCTGAGATAAGTTTGCATACACAACTCTTATTACCATTTTTCAGGTTTAACTTGTCAAGTCATATCTTTTGAGCTTAATTTAGACTGCATCTTGTGACTGGATCTGTTTATTACAAGGAAGAAGAAGCTCTTATTGATAGTTGTTTGTGTGTGTGTAAGTAATAAATGTTTGTTCAGCCAAAGCAAGAGACTAATGAAATAGTCATATTTTCAAATATAAGTACGTATGCTTATCAGTTAATTTATTTTATTGAAAGTAAGTCACAGTTACTTATGGTTTCTGTTCCTTCCCTTTCTATAATGTAAAGTGATTCTGTAGGATAACACTTGAAAGTTAACTTTCGGACCAAGGCTTGTGTTCTTGCTGTGGTAGACACAGTATATATATACAGTATACTCAGTGTTTTCAGGTTATATTCCCTGTTGAAATAACCTTTTTTCCCAATGTTCCTGTGGCTTGAAGTGGCTGACATCCTTTAATTAGTTTATGCCACTTTGCAACACCACCAATATTTACTTGCAAAAACTGGATAAAGGAAGAATTATCCATACAGTGCTTTCATTGTACTTACACAGGACCAACCACTCCAAAACACTTTCTTCCTAAACTTCTATCTTTCCAGTGATATAAATTGAGCTGGACTAGTTCATATTAGATTCTTTCGTGTTTACCATCCGTACAGTTTACCTGCCTTATGTGATGCATAAATATAACACCAACCATATGATGTGTATATTACACTACAGTTATCCTCCCTTGCTCGGCTTGTATTTTTTCTATACAGAGTTATGCTGGGTCAAATAGCTGGCTTCCAGTTCTTTTCTTTTGTACAATAAATGTTAATGCATCAAATTGCCTTCCTAGTGTAAGCTTTGTCCCATAATATTGGACAGTGTTATATAGCTTTCCAAGCTACTGTTTATGTTACTTTAAGAGATCAATATGGAGATGCAATTTCTGCGGTGATGATATCACCTCGTGTGCTGCTGTATTGAGTCTTAAGACTCACCTGTTCATGTGATACACTCAAGCTCAGCTTCTATCATGATACTATATTATGAATTGGATGTCAGGTTATGATGCTTAGAAAGAGGATAGACTTCAGGCTTGAAAGTAAATGGTTTCAACTTTATACTGTATATGTCAAAATTTTGTGATACCATTACATCATGAGGGTTATTGAACTATGAAGAGGCCAGATTGTAACCTTCACTGGTAAGATAATTCTTGTCATGGATCGATATTCATAATGTTGAACTGTACCAATATCCTCATAATACAGTAAAATTAAAAGTTGGGATTTATAGGTACGTACAGATATAGCTACCCAGTTCCTAAATTATACTGTGGACATAATTGTGATGTACTGTACAGTATAGCTCCATATTTGTTGCATATATCATTATCAAACTCTTGTGTGACTGGCAGACTCATAGGAAACATAAACTCTAAAATTATCATTATAATTCAAGAGTCTTTTTAAGACCTTTCTTTGAGGCTGTAATGATTATTTTGCTGTTATAATATTGTAGAATCTGTTGCTCTAATACATTTGGTATATCAGAAGTGAACTTAACAAGAGAAGTTAACTTGTGCAGATGTGAGGCTACATTTCTTAATTATGTTTCACAGATTAATAAAAAGGTGTTGCTAATTGTTCCATGTTGAGCTTGACTGGAGGGCTCTGCTTAGAATTAAAGATGGGATTAATGTGTGTCTTTTGCCTATGTTGTGTTTCCAAGTGATGATGTGAGTGAGTGCTTGTAGTGTACAGTCTCTCCTTGACTTACGACAGAGTTCCTTCCTGACAACCAGGTAGTAAGTCGAAAAGGCAAAAATAATACATAGAAATTCTAAAATGGGTCTCTCTCTTTCTTCACAGCACCACGAGAACTCTCACTTTTACGCTTGCCAGCCATTTTAAAGAATTATAAACAAAAGTTTTGTCAGTACACAGCGTGATCACTAACGTCGGGACTCGAAAATACGTAATGTGAAAAGTATTTTATACGACCATGGCCGTTGTATGTCCGGGTTGTCGTAAGTCGAGGAGAGACTGTATATGTTGATGTTAACCTGCAGGGCTGGCTTGTAAAGTTTTCAACAAAATCCCAACAAATACTGTAATTTCCACATGCAAAAAGAAAAGCTAAGCTAATAAAAAGAATTTGATTTTTTCTACGAGTTATAGAAGTTGAGTACTGTATGAGCTCCTTTTGTGGCTCTGAAGTTGAGTACTGTATGAGCTCCTTTTGTGGCTCTGCAGACATCAGCAGTGCTCTCTTTCCCTCCATACATTTTATAGCATATCATACTGAAAATTTCTAACTAATATCCTTTCCATAAAATTGTCTAAAGGTACTGGCATTAGTAGAACCCAAAATAATTTTTGACAAAGCAGCTATTTTTTTTTAATTATTATTATTATTTTTGTTTTACTTTTTTTTAACTAATGTCAGTTATTGGGGACCCTGCCAGTTAAACTTTGTTGGACACTGGTCATTTTTATTTTTGTTAAAACTTTCAAATTGGTTGTTATATTAAAATTGGACATGTTAGGCAAGGTTCATAATTTAGTAAAGGTACAATTAATTTATTTTGCAGATCATTGTTGAACTACAGAATTGTGGCTATGAATACAATACTGTACAAGTTTCTGGAACCAAACTCATAGGATTTTAGGCTACAGTATTTGGCAATTTTCCCATTCAGTATAATGTGTAAATCTGTGTGTGTGTGTGCGTGCGTGCGTGCGTGCAAAGGTATATCTAATATATGTTCAGAAATCAGCAGTAGTATTAACGTTTGCTATCTTAATTTACTGAGAAAAACTTGCTTCTGCAGAAAAAGAACCACATCAAAGCTTTCTTATGATTATTTCTTTGCACACCTCCTGTTCATTTTTAAAAGCTGTACAGATCAAGATTATAATTTCCACTGCTTTTTATCTAAAGTATATGGAAATTGGGGTTACACTCTGTCATCACTTTAGCTGTGTACATAAGGTGAAAATCATCACAGTTAGTTTATACCCCCAGCCATTTGAGCATGTGATCAACACTGCACTATTGTTTCCTCTAATGTTTTTATTTTGTTACGGATATATTACTTGAATGTTCTGTAACAGTGATATCAATACACGGACTACATTTATGATTTTGTTTTGCTTTTATGCAAGTCATTTAGCAGTTTTTGCCGTATGTTTCACCACTCTTAATCTTAGAATGAAACTATTTTTGTAGAATGCTTCTAGTTTAAAGAAAATTCCACTGTACTGGCAGTAACATCTGTGCACATACTGTATACAGTAGAGAATACCCTCTTAGAACACTTTGTAATTTGACAGGTGTTGTGGTAGAGTTCAATCCTATACTGTACTTACTTGACAAAATAGACATCTCCACTCCTTAGATAAATCATGGTTAATAGCAAATATGGCACTACTGCAAATTCTTTTATCACATTGAATTGGTCCTGAATGTCAATGGCATATCCTGTCTTGCTCAGGGTGGCTAATGCAGAAATCAGTTTAATCACTTTTGAGTTAATGCTTGATGTATACTGGCACAAGATTCCCATGCTTCATAAAAGACTTTGTGACCAAATGCCTGGCTGTATTATTAGTATACACAGGGATGAGAACTTTTTGCTATTTAGTAGATTTCCACAAATTTGTTGATTTGGACCAATTTTGCGATTTGTACAAATC